AGCTGAAAACGGAGGCCTCCACCTCTGTTTAATGATGGACGGTCTTTCTTCACAAAAATGGCTTCTTTTACTCCTCTCTCAATATAATAAAATATCCCTGAGAGACGTAAGCATACAAATGAGTACTGGAACTGTGTTTGTTTACATTCCCTGTGGTTCGATCTGTGCTGGGCTGATTTGTTGTCAGCTACTGTTCATTAGATTTGTTCACTGGCCGGGTTATGTCACACAGATGAGATTAACTTCAAGTTAATTATTTGTTGTGACTAACTTGTTTTGTTTTGTTTTTTTTCCTTCACACAGAGTCAAACTCTACATGAAGAAGCTAACGTTAGCTAAAGTTAGCTTACCGTTCTCTGTCGTCCTGCTTGTTTTTAGCGTCATACTGCTGGATGGTCCGGTACAGACTTCGATACTTTTCCTTCGAGTTTGGTGTAGTCCATTATTATTATTGTGTTTCAAACAAAACTAAACAAGATTTGCACTTTAATTATGAWGCTGCTCTCTGCTCAGCTCTACTAGGTCCGGGGTAGAGTAAGGCCAGGCTGAGAGAGCAGCGGTGCCCTCTACTGGATGAAGGCAAAATTACACTGAAATAAGGTTTAAGTAGATGTTTTCAATTAATCGAATGGAAGAAATTTTAATCTAATAAACCATTATTCGACAATTAATCATAAGTCGATTAATTGTTTTCATCCCTATTTTTGAGGTATTTTGGCCTCTGCCGCTCCCTGTACCTGCCGTTACCAGGTTACAGACAGGCGGGGTGGCCTTTGCTGCCTCTGTCCAAACAGGGGAAAGAAACGTGTCAGCCATGGCCACGCTGAAACACCAACATCCTCCAAAATAAAATAAAAAAAGAAGCTTAACGCAAAGTTTAGAGCAGAATACCCCAGGGATTTTTATAAATCTGGAGCCAACACACGTGAGAAAACGTGATGACCACTTCCTGTTTGTCTCACATCAGAAACAAGTCAAACTCTTCAACTGTCAGCTGCATCAGTAGAAGCGAGGCGTGGGTTTRTCWAAGCTCTCGGTGCTGTTTGTGCAGAATCAGATGTTCCTTTAGAGACATAAAAAAGCTTTCTTTGTTTCTGACCTTAAACAAGGAGGGGYTCTGCCAGAACAAGAACAAATGAGCTTCGATCCTGTTCAAGTTGCACACATTGTTACTGGTTRTAGGTTTTTTATGAGATATTTTATGTTTACGTTCAATTAAAGCATTTTTATTTTACAAAACGTTTTTAATGAGACGTGAATTTCTATGTTTTTCCACATAAATACTGTTTTTGTTCTTTAACAAATACAGGTAAACACTTTTAAATACCTTTTATAAATCATTTAATGTTCTGCTGAATCACAGCACTTGGTTATATTTGTGAAAGAGAAGTAATAGTCCATTAAATATTGAATTATGCAGCTATTCATTAGTTAAATTATCTTTCTTACACACTTTAGATTAATAAACATGGTTGGAATGAAAATGTGGAATTCAAAAATTTATCTGCCTCATGTCCCTTCCTGCCTTTCTTCCTTCCTTCCTTCCTTCCTTCCTGCCTTTCTTCCTTCCTTCCTTCCTTCCTTCCTTCCCGCCTTCATGCCTTTCTTCTTTCCTGCCTTCCTGCCTGCCTGCCTGCCTTCCTTCCTTCCTTCCTTCCTTCCTTCCTTCCTTCCTTCCTTCCTTCCTTCCTTCC